TATTAATATAAAAGGGAAAGGTCTTTTGGGTAATCTAATTTCTAAGTCAGCACATTTCTAATTTGTCATGCGTTAACTCAAATTGTTAATCATCACGATTGTAATTTGTCAAGTGTTGATTAAAATATTTGTTAACAATTACGTTTCTAATTTTTTTAATTGGGTAATCGAAATCTGTGGTCATCAAATTTCTTGTATGTCGCGTGGGTTTTAAAGTTAGTGGTCATCACATTTCCAATTTGTCTAGCAGCTAGCAGAGTTCGCTGAATGTATGGTGTTCAATCTTTGAATATCTCTGTATAATTAACTAGTAGTGTTATTCAGTGTAGGGTCTAGGTAACCCTTAGATTATGATAACGTTAAAATGATATTTTGGTGACGTTTAAATTAGCTCTTGTAGCTTTTAAATTACGTTATAATGACGTTTAAATTAAGTTCTGGTGAAGTTAAAATAAAGTTGTGCCAATGTTTAAATTAAGTTCTGGCAAAGTTGAAATAATAAAATAATGTCTAAATTAAGTTTGTATTTAGTTTTGGTAAACAAGAATACGAGGTATCATATTTTAGATTAAAATAACGAAACAAAAACGCCCAGTGAATCCCATAATCCTCCACCGTATTCACGAAGTCATTTCGGCTTAAAGCTTATTTCAATGAAAGAAACTATGTAATGTTAACTATGCAACGAAACAGTGATATGAAAACTGGATTCTATCAAGTACAATGTGAGAACTGGCTTGCTTCAAATTAAAAAAAAAATGGCTTACTTCAAATTAAATGTCACTGATTGACGTTAAATGCTAGGCTATATTAGACTTCTACGAAACGCGATACCTTCCTATTTATTCAAGTTTAATTGTTGACGACAAAAAAACGCCATCGGCTACGTACAGTAACTAAGTTTTACAAAGCCGGTCTCCGACTTCAGGAAACGCTGCGTTTTTCTGCTCTACAATCTGGGAGATCTTGAAACAAGGGCGATAATTTGACAGTCGACATTTACACGATTTAAATAATTAAGATGGTTGAAGTTTTGGAGCAGCCCGTACTTTGCGTGTACTTTATTGGAGCCTGTTGTTGCCGGCTATTTTTAACAAGCAGTGGTAGATAATGAGGTGGTGGAGTGTGGGTTGTTGTGTGACGGACAATGCGTGCGGTCATTTGATACTCGCATTGGTTCAGTCTATGGGGGTTTTAATGCTTTTTGTTTTAGGGTTTTAATGCGTTTTGTTTAAATCTTTTCCTGTAGCAAACTTTAGTGTGAGGGTCTGTTCGGCTGGTGTGTGTGGGGATGTCGTGGTGGGTTGTGTGTCGTGTTGGTGTGTTGTGCAGGTTATTGTAGGATAGGTGTGGTGTAGGCATGAGTCAAAGAATGTGTCGTGTATGTTTATAATGGGTAGTGTGTCGTGTATGTTTGTATAGGGTAGTGTGTCGTGTATGTTTATATGGGGTAGTGTGTCGTGTATGTTTATATGGGGTAGTGTGTCGTGTATGATTATATGGGGTAGTGTGTCGTGTATGATTATATGGGGTAGTGTGTCGTGTATGATTATATGGGGTAGTGTGTCGTGTAGGTTTGTTTGGGGTAGTGTGTCGTGTAGGTTTGTATAAGGTAGTGTGTCGTGTATGTTTGTATGGTGAAGTGTGTCGTGTAGGTTTTTGTAAGGTAGTGTGTCGTGTATGTTTATAATGGGTAGTGTGTCGTGTATGTTTGAATGGGGTAGTGTGTCGTGTATGTTTGTATAGGGTAGTTTGACGTTTAGGTTCGTATACGAAAGTGTGTCGTCATTATTTGTGTAGGATAATGTATGGTGTTATATTTATGGCTTGTGCGTATAGAAGAGAAATGTATACACAATGTAAACACAAAAAATCAATCCTCCCGTGCCCATCTAGAGATAAAACAACGTAATACAATTGATATCGACATCTGATCCAGTCTATTTTTGTCAACAAAATACGTGTCAGCGCTTAAACATGTCAAAACGATGAATTAGCGTGAAGAAAGCCTTAAATGCAGCTTGTGTATGCTATAATTGTCGTATACAATACAAGAAAACAGTGGACCCAATTGACTTGGAACTCAAGTGGCCAGAACAATATGTTTGAACTGAGACCAACTAGCATTGTATGTTAGCAGCTCTCGGGACACGGGTCGTCTTCAAGTGACGGACTAGTTAAGGTGCTGTACATGCATGTTAAAATGTTAACTTTTCATTTCCATTTTTTATTATTGTTCTAGTACGGTCTTGCGCTAAAGCATAATTTAAAATTGAATTTTTTTGGGTTTCAAAAAAAAAAGCAATAGGACAAAGAGGGTAGCTAAACGATGAATTTTTTCTTGGTTGCCAAAAATTGAAAGAATGCTGTTGGGATATTTATCTGCTTGGGTTTCCTTTTGTCTACAACCCTAATGGGCCAGCTAGTCTTTGGGTTGGTGGGGTTATCCCTTCAAACCACGTGAACTATCTGTTAAACTTGGGTTTTTTTGTACGACCCCTTCAAACCCCGGCAACTATCTGCTAATTTTGGGGTCTTGTGTATGACCCCTTCAAACCACGGCAACTATCGGCTGTTTGTTGGCTAGTAAAGCATGTCCTAACAAATCTGTTAGTTCCTTTTCCATTTTAATATATTGGTTAATCTCCAACCAACAAGCCAGATATTTTTTACGTCCCCTATCTCTTAAATCTCTAACCCACAAGGCAGATGTTATTCCGTCTGATATCTCTTAAATCTCCAACTAACATGGCCAATGTCGTCCAGCCTCTCTTATCCCTTTCTGGACAGATCTGTTGCTTTTACTTATCACAAACCAAATTCCTCGACTTATCTTATCAGGACTCACACCGTGTCTGGCATCGTTACATAACACCACCGGATAATCCCTCGTTACATAACACCACCGGATAATCCCACGCGACGTCCCTAATTTTTGGGTTTCGTAGACGTTCTATCAACAGACTCACCAAGTTTCGTTTTGTAGACTTTTGTTTTTTTACCAGCCGACTCACCTAGATCTAGTTATGTTTTTTTAAGAGTAGGTGCGTCTAAGATGTTGTTTCTGGAGTGGAAACTTACGTGTTTACACAGTGATTGGAACTCTGCTAAATACATACAGACACCTCTTGCAGAATACATACAGACACCTCTTGCAGAATACATACAGACACCTCTTGCAGAATACATACAGACACCTCTTGCAGAATACATACAGAAACGGATGCGAAATACACACAGGGACCTCTTGCTACATACATACAGACACCTCTTGCAGAATACATACAGGCACCTATGGCAAAATACAGGCACCTATGGCAAAATACAATCAGGCCCATCTTTAGGCAGGCTCTCTCTTTACAATCAGGCCCATCTTTAGGCAGGCTCTCTCTTTACAATCAGGCCCATCTTTAGGCAGGCTCTCTCTTTACAATCAGGCCCATCTTTAGGCAGACTCTCTCTTTACAATCAGGCCCATCTTTAGGCAGGCTCTCTCTTTACAATCAGGCCCATCTTTAGGCAGACTCTCTCTTTACAATCAGGCCCATCTTTAGGCAGGCTCTCTCTTTACAATCAGGCCCATCTTTAGGCAGGCTCCTTTTTTACAATCAGGCGCCCTTACACAAGCAGGCACCCTGTACACAACCAAACGCCCTCTCCACCATTAAACGCCTTTTCCACAATCCGGCGCCCTGTTGACAATCAAACAGCCCGGTTTTCCCTATGACATCTGTATCAGATTTGGACCCGTTCATTATTGATGGGCCCAGTTCTACTGTGTGCACAAATTATCTTGGAGATTCTTTATAGACGTCATAAAATGAGCGGGGCTTGAACCCACTTGTTGAGAACGTTTGTGTTGGCGTCAGTGAGTGTTTGGTGCTCACCCTTATCTTTGTTGACTGTCATAATTGGTTCATTTGCACGACCGTCCTCTGTGTGTACATTACGTGACTGCTGTTACTGTGTACTAGGTCCGACTGACATTGTGTACATATTGTGACTGATTATTGCGTATATAAAATGACTACCATTATTGTGTCCAAGACCCTACTACCATTATCGAATACATGATATGACTGTCTGTATTGTGTACAAGACTTGACTGTCTTTATTGTGTACAAGACATGACTGCCATTATTGTGTACAATATATGACTGCCATTATTGTGTACAAAACCTCACTGCCATTACAGTGTACTCTGTTCGACTATTGTTACAATGTTCTCCGATTCTCCATCAAACGAAGCCCGCCCCCACCCCCAGTGTTGATACCCCGGGCAGTCGTGACTCGTGACGGCCCACCCACCCTTTATATAAAGTGTATACACACTTTATATCACGTGTGTTTCATCTATAGAGTGCAGACTGTAATTAGTTCTGGAGTGCATTACACTCATTAGAACATCCAAAAACTGTCGAGGCTCAAGTATCTCAGTCGATACATTGTGTCTGTAATCTGTTTGTTGGATGAGGCTTTAACACAATTGACGAGTGCATTGAGAACAAAATTTAATGTAGGCTATGGGAGAATCATCAAATCAAATCTTGCTCACTTTGATACAATACAACATTATCATAAAGGAGAGTTTATAACGATAGTAGAGAATTCCTACCTCCCTACCCCTTTAGATTTGATAACGATTGCACAAATAGACCCATAAGCGTGTCCCAAGCTAAGGTTTTATTCATTGTTCATTAAAACTTATTTCAGAAAGGGACGCAATACTCATAAAGGGACGCAATACACCTCTTTGTCAAGAATAATGAACTATTTAATTAACGGGTTGTTCCTTCTGATCGTCTATGGCGGTATTTAAAAACAGGGAGCTAAAAACGGGAGCTAAAAAAAAAACCAGGGAGCTTAAAAACAAAAGAAAATAGATGCCGGGGTTAATTAAATTGGGTGTAATTTTTGTGAGGAAAGGTCACATGACTTTTTGTGGTGAGGGCCTGATGTTGATTGACGTGTGGTATTAATTTGCTGGTGTCCTTCTGCAGGAGCCCTCGCTTTTTGCCGTGGCCAAGCTGTTGGAGAGTGGACTGGTCAACCTCGGACGTGTTGAGGTCCTGTGGAGGCCCGTGGCTGCACATCTTCTGGAGGTAGGACATCACCCTCTTCTCTCTTTCTAGGACATAGTCCTTTCCTCTCTTTAGGACATCATCCTCTTCTGTCTCTTGGACATTAGTCCTTTCCTCTCTCTAGGACATTAGTCCTTTCCTCTCTTAGGGACATCATCCTCTTCTGTTTCTAGCCCACCATCCTCTTCTGTTTCTAGCCCACCACCCTCTTCATTCTCTATGACATCACCCTCTTATGTCCCTAGGACATAGTCCTTTCTTCTCTTTGGGACTTAGCAATCAAGGGAACAACATACAGGTATGTCCTGTCTGTAGGACACCAACCTTCATTCCCTTAAGTCCTTCTAAATCACCAATCTTCATTCCCTTAATCCCTAAATCACCAAACTTAATTCCCTTAATCCCTAAGTCACCAATCTTCATTCACTTAAGTCCTTATAAATCACCAACCTTCATTCTTTTAATCCCTAAGACACCAACCTTCATTTTATTCAGTCCTTCTAAGTCACCAAACTTCATTCCTTAATCCCTAAGACACCAACCTTAATTCCCTTAATCCCTAAGTCACCAACCTTCATTCCCTTAAGTCCTTCTAAGTCACCAACCTTCATTCCCTTAATCCCTTAGTCACCAATCTTCATTCCCTTAATCCCTTAGTCACCAACCTTCATTCCCTTAAGTTCTTCTAAATCACCAAACTTGATCCCCTTAATCCCTTAGTCACCAAACTTCATTCCCTTAAGAAATTTCTATTTACACTCCTCATAAGTCATTAACCATCTCTGCGGACCCCCCCCCCCCCCTTCTAAAAATCACCTTATTGCGGAAATGCTATTGACTCGATCCTATAACTAATTAACTACATATTTTCCAACAAAATTAATTAAGACTAAACTCACATCAACTCTTGACCACAAGCTTACTTTTGCTTAGAAAAATAATCAGCTATTATCAGATGAAAACTTAATTTAAATAAGTCATTAAATGTACTCCATCTTTAGCCAAGGGAAGTAATAAGCCATTCAAAAGCAGTTACTTCCCTTCCCATGTGGGTGGCATGCCTTAATAATCCGCGCGTTTTTAAATTCCAATTAAGTTTGAAACTTTGTTGGGAATATAACGAAACAAAAGATGAAACAACTTTTTTTTTAAAGTTATTTTTTAAACACCCAATCGATAAAAGAGATCTTTAAAATTGATGGCAAAGCTAATAATCTCATTTAAAAAAAATCTCGCGGCCGCTTTAAATAAGAAAACTAACAAGGATCCTTGATGACAATGTCCTTCTGTAGCAAGCCGTATATAATAAGGCTTGGGCTGGTTTTTTTGTGTTCCACGTCCCTTTCATTATGCGCCATCTTTTCATCAGCGCGCTAGTGCGCACGGAAGATGCCTTTTGTGGGCCTGTTGCTCTGACACAAACAGACAGGTAAACTTACCTGATACATCGGCAGGTTTACCTGTCCGTGATACAAACTGGACATCCTGACTAATATCTGGTGTAAATCTAGTTACCTGCTGTAGGGATATATTTACTTGATGTAAATCGATGCCGAGTCTATCTCCTTGTTGTAAAGCAGTACTTACTGTCCTCTCGTAGACCACTGCTTGCCTACCTTAGATCGACCTCTACCTGGTTGCAATCAGACAACTCGTAAATCAGGACCCATATTTACCTGGTGTAAATTACTGTCATCCTTGCACGTTTTTTACCTGTTGTAAATAAATTATTATTTACCTGTTGTGAACAACAAATAATTCTTTACCTGTTTTACATAAATTACTATTCACTTTTTGTAAACCACAAATAATTATCTGATGAAAATACATCAGTTTTTACCTATTGTAAATAACAAATCACTAAATACCTGCAGTGAATAATAAATTACCCTGCTATAAATAACAAATCAATACGAACTCTAAATAAATCATAATTTACCTAATCAACAAATCCCCGTTTATTTGTTGTAAATTACAAATCCCACTTTACCACTTCTAAACCACACATCATTTACCTGTTGTTGACGGATTACCACTGGATGTTAGACTAATATACCTGTTGTAAGCAGATTACCACTTGATGTAAGACCAATACACCAGTTGTAAACATCTCTTGATTTCCATGTCTTCATCGCTTGACTATAACAAAAAATAATTGAGCCCGATTCTAGCAGCGATGCCTGAATCAGTTGCCAAGTATTTGGTTATTATATTTAGATCTACAACAATCTATCCTTGTGTGCGTGTGGCATGACTTACGAGGCTGTCAGCTCATTACGCAATCATCCGCTGTAGTTCTAATGAGTTTTGTCGATTAGTGCAGTAATAAAAAATACTTTCTCCCCTTCAAATTACTTTGGAAAAAAAAACTCGTTTCTTTTTAGTTTTAAAATTAATTTTAGCTTAGCCATTTTTTTTTTCGTTGAGGAAAAAATAGTTTTGTTTTAGATCAATAAGCTCGGAAATTTGTTTTGAATTTTTATTTTCAACTTCTGGCAAAATGAGGGGTCGATTTTGTTCTTCGTTTTGTTACAACTATAGCCATACGTGTGTTTGTTTGTTTGTGTGTGTGTGTGTGTGTGTGTGTGTGTGTGTGTGTGTAAAAAAAGACCACCTTTCTCTTGTTAGAGCTGTATGTGTGTTTCTGTTTGTGTGTGTATGTGTATGTGTGTATGTTAAAAAGACCCCCCCCCCCCCTTCCCCTTCTCTTGTACTGTAACAAGATACTGCGGCGTAGGTCGACAATTTTTATTATGACCTGAGTGGATTCTCTCTATTCAATATTCTGAGATATCACAAATACCACTGAATTATGAAGATAATTAAATTTTGATGGTGCTGTCTAACTATCAAATTAAATACTTAAGTACTTTAAGGGTGTGTGTGTAAGGAGGAGGGGGGGGGTGGTCTGTAGTGCAAGCACTTAGGAAGTTGTAGGCTACCAACCCGACAGATGTGCACTATTGTGTATGTCTATGTTGAACGATTCCGCTGTAGTAGACTATAATTGTATGCCTTATTACAAGCTGCAGGTTACCAACCCGACTGATGTGCACTATTGTGTATGTCTATGTTGAACGATTCCGCTGTAGTAGACGGTACTCGACTCTATTGGAACATACACCCAGCCTAGTTAGTCTCCTGGCGTAGACGTGTGTCATGTTGTTGTCGATGTGGAACCTTAACTACCCCGGATCGTGTATCTGTCTCTCCACGTCTCTCCCAACACATCCATCTTACACGTAGCGCGCCACCCAGCTCCCTTACTTCAGACTACATTTTAGTTTCTCTCTTCTCTCTTCTCCCCTCTCCACCCTCCCCTCCTTCAAATATTGAGACACTATTCCCCTGTCGCTCCAGTTTATTACTCTAAAACTTTAGTGATAGTTCTACAAGTAAAAAAAAACTGAACCAAAAAAACCCAACATTTCTCCTATTTCCCGTCATGACGCCAAAGCAAAAGTTACCCCAACACAACAAACGCCGCTCGTCAATGGGGGCTTTATGCCGCGCAAAGTGCGAGCTTTATGCCGCACAAAGTGCGAGTTGGTGCGCACTGTTCCCTAGACGGGCTGGCAATATTACCTAGTGCTTTTTACTGTTAGCTTTTCAAGCATCAATTTCATGCCTGTCATTGTTCCCCTTCCACCCCAGTACTCATGTTAGGGGCGACACTGTGTACGATACCACCGAAATTGTTCGGCCCTCCCCTAGCTTTTCTATAGTACAGTTTTAGCTTCTATATACAACATGATTTTTCTTTAAATGCTCTGTATGTTATTTTAAAAATTTCTTGATGTTGCATGTACAACTCATCAAACTGGAAACTGACTTCAAAGTTCTATAAAAAAAATAAACATTGTAATTAAACCAGGCTTTTGACTATGACTAATGACTAGAATTTGATTCTACTAACATAAGAGTGTGTCATGTACTTTTTGCTTAACTTTATAGTATCTGGTATAAATATTACTACAAGTATTTGACAATATATAAATACATTTACCCACTATGTCATTTTGATTTTTTACCGTGTGTGTGTGTGTGTATATATATATATATATATATATATATATATATATATATATATATATATATATATATATATATATATATTCTACCTGATGGTCACCATATATCTTTAGATCTTCCTTACCTTACTGTACCTAAACAAATACACTTGTATCTTCTGTCGAGTCCAGGTTCAGTTTTCACCAACTGCCTGCCGATATGTCAGTGCGCCATGTTGCGTCCAAATGAAACACACACAAATACTTCTCTGGTGTTCTCTGTTCACCCTCTGCAATATGTTGTTTTTTTAGTTTTGTATTTGTAGATTTTTTTTATATTTGTATCACTAAAACAAATAGAGTTTGACACGTGGATTCCTGGGTATTTGAGCACATTTTTTGATCAATCAAAACATGCCCAGAAGGTGTCGCTTTTGGTGAAGTTTTGTATCGTTTACAGCGGACGCTTTGTTCACAATAAATAAACCAATGTGGGAGATGGTTTTAAAGCATCCCAACCGGCTCTGTTTATCTGATACATGACGTCAGTTCCGCTAGATTCTCACTCCCGTTTGTTCGAAATCCTACTCTCCTCCCTCCACATACTCCCGTCATAGAAACAACAGTCACATCTGTTGGCAAGAATCACGAATATGTTCCCATATACTGTTTTTACGTACATAGTGTTTTGTGGGCACTACTTTAGTTGCAGGCAGCTTCAGTAGAAAATCTACTACTTTGGTCAGATTGTAATGTAGGCAGGGTTGGGGAAGTGCTATCATGTTTTGTGGGCACTACTTTAGCTGCAGGCAGCTTCAGTAGAAGTACGATAATCTACTAGGTTGGTTTTACGCACCTTTGATTGGTCAGATTGTAATGTAGGCAGGGGAAGTGCTATCATGTTTTGTGGGCTCTACTTTTGTTGCAGGCAGCTTCAGTAGAAGTACGATAATCTACTAGGTTGGTTTTACACACCTTTGATTGGTCAGATTGTAATATAGGCAGGGTTGGGGAAGTGCTATCACGGGGCTGGAACCCGTATGTTTAGAGCTACGTCATGGACACATTTCTGGTGTTCTTGTTTGTTTTTATTTTAATTTTTATAAACATTATTTTTATTTTTATCCGTGTTGTTGATTGGCTGTGTTGTTATACATATATTTTTTTATTTCTTCTTCCAAATGCTCGTATAAAACACCTTTTAAATGTGTATTATTTTGCAATGTTTCTTTGTATTTGTCGTGTTTTTCATTTACAAGACGCGTTGTTTCAATGAATCATATTGTACAGCTGATGTGAAGCTCGTATTCAACTAGAGTATTCGATGGTTAATTTTGAGTTGAATGTTATTGAATTAATAGACCATGATTCTATAAAGCAAGCCGAAGTATTTTATTTACATTTATATTATTCTCAAAAGGAATTGATTGAATAGTATACGTAACACAGGTCATTGCTACATACTTATTGTGGATAAAGGCTATTAAGTAATTAAAAAATATAAAAATAGCTTTTTAACTTTTTCCCCATGTTTTCTTTAACTTGCTTTCGCGTCTGTTTGTTTGTTTGTTTGTTTGTTTGTTTGTTTGTTTGGTTCTCCAATCAAATCTTGCGATCGAAATTTCGGGCACTTCCCAGTTAGCTAGCGCGCTGAAATTTTCAGGGAAGCTTTGTTTCCGATGACAATAGAATATTCAATTGTTATTATTACTAAATTGATCCATGGAAACATTTTATTGATCATTTTAGACCCTCTATATATTTGTACAAAAAACGTGGGAAAAGGGGACATAACCCAGTAATTGTAATTTGATGAAAACAAGGTTCGGTACTCTCCCTCTTTTGGCTTACTCAGTAGTGGTCACGCGGTGTTTGTGTACAAACAACCGGAACGTAACAACTGCGATGCAAAACGTGGGGCGCAGTGATTTTCTTACAGTTTCTAATACTGTTGACTCTCTACAAGCTCCCTAATAAAAGTCAATAGTATTATTTAATCAATAGTAATATAACTTTTACATCTTATATTAACAATGACCGATAAAAAACTTTAACTTCGGCGCCCCACGTTTTTCATAGCTTATAGTAGAGTGATCGCTTGCATTATTGTGATGTATAGCATTTATTTTCTACCCTTTAGTTCAATCAGAAAACGTGGGTTTTTTAAAACTTTTTTAATGATAATTATTTTGCAATCGGACTCTGAAATATTGTGGAATTCTGAAGAGAATGAGTAAGCATGAGTAAACATACACTAATAATTATTATTTATTTTATATTATTATACTTTGTAATTAAATGGTATTAAATTCGACCGAGTACAAATAGTTCAGAAACAAAATTTCTTTGTTAAATAAATTCTCATGAAGACCAGGTATACAGATCCAGGTGAAGGATTAAAAAAAAAACGACCCCCCCCCCCGCAATCATTAATAGTGTTAACAAGTAGAGATGAGAGTAATGTTTTACTCCCTGTATGTAAGTCCTCCTGACACAACTCTGTTGGATGGAGCTGTTTGATGTGGCGGTAGATAGACGTTTCTCAGCCCGACGTTATCCCCACTTTTTACTGGCATTACTTTAACCGCCTCACGCAGTTTACTCGAGTAACACTTGTAAGATGTAAGTGTAATCTCTAAATATTGCCGTTAAAAATAAAGTTGTAGTCTGCTTAAACAGAAAACAAACAAACAGAATGTTTAGTGAAAGGATATGTCTGCTAGTTTCAAAACATGAAAGAGTCATCAAGAAATGGGCGCTACTTTTTGTGATGAAATACTCATAAAATTTTTAAAGAAATCTAAAAATGGATCATCTTTATAAAAAACAAACAGACAGCTTCACGCAAAAGTTGGATGATTTCTCTTTACTTGAGCTTGCAGCTGTAGACGTTTTTTTTTACCAGCTTCGACTCCGGCTCCAGTAAAAACAACCAATTACCCCCTGTACAGCTTCAAGCACTGCTCCATGTCGTTGGTTCAGGGAGTGAAATGACAAAATTAAAAATAATTTGACAACCAATTAAAATGACAAGTTTGTATTTGATTTCATTAAAATTGGTTAAGTGAATAAAAGTGACACTTTAAAAATAATTCAACCACAAATGAAATAGACAAGTATGTATTTAATTCCATTAGAGTTGGTTAAGTTAATAGAAGTGACAACATTTAAATTAACACGTTTGTGTTTAATCCCGTAAGATTTATAATACCTTTTGTTAGATTACTAGTTGTTACCAAGTACATTTTTTATGCTAAAAAAAAAATATCCCCTGACCCGCATTAGAACCGTGTTGTTAGTCTTAACTCTTTAGACCAGCGAGAAAGATTTCGCTTACCAGGTCCTAATGTGTAACTTATAGTCAGTTGTTCTAGTGGGCATGCCCCCCCCCCCCCCCTTACTTTTTCACCCCTACACCCCCCCCCCCCCCCCCCTTTCATTATTATTCCAGTAAGTAGCTTCGTCAAACTCAGGGGTTCGTTTTTTTGTTGTTGTTGACGTCTTCAGCAGGGAGTACTTGCTGATGTAAGCACGCTCTTGATTGGCTGCTTGGGTTGTGAGATGGATGATGATTGGTTAGCGTTACACCTGGGGGACTGAGCGATAGAATGCATCTGTTTTGTACCTATGTCTGTCTGTGTGTGTGTGTGGGGGGGGGGGGGGGGGGGTCGGTGGGTGGGGGGGGGGGGTTAATGTACTCTCTCAGACAATAGTGTCATTAGAGCCGGTCTACATCTCGATTTTAATTGTAGTCTCTTTGTCTGACACAGAAACGGTAAGACAAAGCGGTTCGTCCCCTTTGTTCGTCTCAAGTTCATTCCCTTTGTTTTCTGAAGCTTTGCAGGTTGTGAAAGTTTTATGTTAGAAATCTCATATCAACTAGAGAGAAATGGTGTAAATCTTGTATCATAAATATCAACTAGAGAGAAATGGTGTAAATCTTGTATCATAAATCTCATATAAACTAGAGAGAAATGGTGTAAATCTTGTATCATAAATTTCATATAAACTAGAGACTAATGGTGTAAATCTTGTATCATAAATCTCATATAAACTTAAGAGAAATGGTGTAACCACGTTACAAAAACCTCATGATAATTAGAGAGAAATTGTGTTAATCATGTTATAGAAATCTCATATCAACTAGAAAGAAATAGTGTAGATTATGTTACAGAAAACTCACATAAACATGAGAAAAATATGTATTTTTCGGCAAATGTTAGCCAGAAATAGACGAAGATTTACAGTAAAACCCATCAAGCAAAGAAACCGTTTTAAAATTTTCAAACGGCGCAGAAATGACGAGCGTCAAGAGTTGTCGCTCGTGCGTCGCCAACAGTTGCCAACAACAGTTGCTGCCCTTGTTAAAGTGTGGGTACCTCAGCAGGGGTGTAGGTAAAAACAACAGCGAATTGATAAGAAATGGCATGGCTGTTTGAACTTACAAGCCAGGAATGACAAGCTCAGCTAGCAGCTAGATCTATCAGTCTCGATGGTGGGTTTTTTTTTGTTTGTTGGAGGTAGCCAGCCAAGGCAACATGCGAGGATTTGTTACATTGACGCAGACATTGTTTTTTTTAAATGCTGGCGTTCCAATTGTTTTAAAGCTACGAACATACCAGAAAACATTAAACTAGACCCAGCCCGTACACAGCAGAGGTTGTTTTTTTTAGGATCGGTACTGTCCCAATTCACAACCTGATAGAGTGTGTACATAATTTCTGGGGGGACTGGTCGAATGGTAGAGTCTTCGCCTGCTAACCTGAAAATCTCGGGTTCTTCTCAAACCTAAAAGTCTCGTTTTTCCCCGAGCCCACCCAGCTCTTATGGGTACCCAATTTTGTTTAGGAAAAATAACGGCGGCTGGGTATAGTGCTGACCATAATATCCCTTCATTGCCGAGGTCACTGAAACAGTCGAACTCTACTTCACCAACTCCGTGGATCGTCAGGTTCGAAAGGGTGCTTTACTTTTTTTTTTATATAATGGCAGCCCGATACACAGATTGTCTTGATGTTCGAGAGGTCCCACCGTACAATTGGTAAAGCGACGCGTCACCTGGCGTAGTACAGTAATCGTCGTATCACTCACGTGAAATACCGTATCACTCACTTGAAATACTCACGGGATAATTCAACCTGGGCCCCTTGTCGATGGCCATATGAATTGTACCAGTCTCTATACAGGTGGCCGTAACTAACACCTCTGTCGCGTAGCTTACATTTTACATACATGGCATTACATATCACATACATAGTATTACATATCACATACATAGTATTACATATCACATACATGGTATTACATATCACATACATGGCTTCACCGCCACCATCACATGATTCACGCTATAGCTTTAAATAACCAGCTTCTGATAAGGATATCGCTTTACACTATTTGTTAACTTGCAAAAACAATTCTTGCTATTCGATCGACTGTAAGAAACAATGCCTGCTATTTCTTGACTTGCAAGGAACAATTCTTGCTACTTGTTGACTTGAGAGAATCAATTCTTGCTACTAATTGACTTGAGATAATCAATTCTTTCTACTTGTTGACTTGAGAGAATCAAATCTTGCTACAAATTGACTTGAGAGGAACAATTCTTGCAACTAATTGACTTGAGAGAATCAATTCTTGCTACTAATTGACTTGAGAGGATCAATTCTTGCTACTAATTGACGTTAGAGAATAAATTCTTGCTACTTGTTGACTTAAGAGAATCAATTCTTGCTACTTGTTGACTTGAGAGAATCAATTCTTGCTACTTGTTGACTTGAGAGAATCAATTCTTGCTACTTGTTGACTTGAGAGAATCAATTCTTGCTACTAATTGACTTGAGAGAATCAATTCTTGCTACTAATTGACTTGAGAGAATCAATTCTTGCTACTTGTTGACTTGAGAGAATCAATTCTTGCTACTAATTGACTTGAGAGAATCAATTCTTGCTACTTGTTGACTTGAGAGAATCAATTCTTGCTACTTATTGACTTGAGAGAATCAATTCTTGCTACTTGTTGACTTGAGAGAATCAATTCTTGCTACTAATTGACTTGAGAGAATCAATTCTTGCTACTAATTGACTTGAGAGAATCAATTCTTGCTACTTGTTGACTTGAGAGAATCAATTCTTGCTACTAATTGACTCGAGAGAATCAATTGACTTGAGAGGAACAATTATTGCTACTAATTGACTTTAGAGAATAAATTCTTGCTACTATTACGACTTGAGAGAATAAATTCTTGCTACTAATTGACTTGAAAGGAACAATTCTTGCTACTTGATCAACTGTAAGAAACAATAGCTGCTATTTATTGCAAGACTTGATGACGTGCAGTAAAGCCTCATCTTTGTTTTCGGCCAACTAACATAAATACATTTAAATACATTTAATAGGCTAATGCGCTGCTAAAGTACATCAACAAAATCCGCCATCTTGCCTCGGTAGATATCTATATCAGGTCACTTTTTTCTAACACCGTCCCCGTTTTTACTTCATTGTCTAAGGTTTTCTGTCTGATACTGGTGTTTTAATAGATTGGAATGGTGTGTGTCTCTCAGTGAACTTTATTTGATACCCGACTCACAAGAGCGCTGTCCGCTCTCGTTTTTTTTTCTCGACCATTGGAGTGTCGGGTGGTGTGTGGGTTGGTGTCACGGGTTGGAGTGTCGGGTGGTGTGTGGGATGGTGTCACGGGTTGGAGTGTCGGGTGGTGTGTGGGTTGGTGTCACGGGTTGGAGTGTCGGGTGGTGTGTGGGATGGTGTCACGGGTTGGAGTGTCGGGTGGTGTGTGGGATGGTGTCACGGGTTGGAGTGTCGGGTGGTGTGTGGTATGGTGTCACGGGTTGGAGTGTCGGGTGGTGTGTGGGATGGTGTCACGGGTTGGAGTGTCGGGTGGTGTGTGGGATGGTGTCACGGGTTGGAGTGTCGGGTGGTGTGTGGATGATGTCACGGGTTGGAGTGTCGGGTGGTGTGTGGGATGGTGTCACGGGTTGGAGTGTCGGGTGGTGTGTGGGATGGTGTCACGGGTTGGAGTGTCGGGTGGTGTGTGGGATGGTGTCACGGGTTGGAGTGTCGGGTGGTGTGTGGGATGGTGTCACGGGTTGGAGTGTCGGGTGGTGTGTGGGATGATGTCACGGGTTGGAGTGTCGGGTGGTGTGTGGGATGGTGTCACGGGTTAGAGTGTCGGGTGGTGTGTGGGATGGTGTCACGGGTTGGAGTGTCGGGTGGTGTGTGGGATGGTGTCACGTGAGGGTTGCTTGAGCGGCAGCAGTCAGTGATATATATATATATATATATATATATATATATATATATATATATATATATATATATATATATATAGGCCTACTCCAGTGTACACTTTAAAACCAACCGTCTTGTTGTAATTATTTTATCGTGATATTGCTGTCACTCTAATCCCCCCCCCCCCCACCCTCCACCCCAGTATATTTCCACAGCAGGCTCCTGTTGCTGAAGATTTAAGATCGCACGTCACCGTGTAGCTTCAACTCACATCGCGACATTCACAACACAAACAAAACAAACCAACAAGCGAGGGCGTAACATTTTTTCAATCACAAGCGTCATGACGATATTCTCCTCATGTTTTTGTCTTTTAAAAGCTGCAATAAAACACGAGTTTATTAAAGTTAAAAAACGTTTAGAGAGGAAGTAGAAAAATGTGTTTGCTTCGTCTGTGTGTTGTGTCTGTGTGTTGTGTCTGTGTGTTGTGTCTGTGTGTTGTGTCTGTGTGTTATGTCTGTGTAACGTCTGTGTGTTATGTGTGTGTTATGTGTGTGTTATGTCTGGGTGTTATGTATCTGTGTTGGTTGTTAGATGAGGGTTTAATGTCGACATTGGGATCAAAATTGTATGTTTCAAACTCGATAAACGATATTTCGTTTAATTTTGTATATTTCTGACCCTACTATCATAGCCAGAAGTATACAAGTATCCAGAAATCACATTCCTTACCCAATTCTCATGTCTGGCCTATAGTACTCAGGG